AGATCCATCTCATCCTGGGCACCCCCCCCTTTTTTTTTGAACTATTACCATCTGGCAGACGGTGCAGGATAATGAAAACAAGGACAAATAGGCTGAAAAAACAGCCAGGGCAGTAACTCTATTGAATTCTGCTGTATAGTGCAATATTAATGCAATTATCAGGGGTTTTTCAATTCAATGTGTGGAGTATGAAGGATGTGTGTGTTTGTGCTTATCTTCATGGTCATGATGTGCACTGAAGACGGTGTTTGATTTCATGGTGTAATGACAATAAAGTAAACTAAGGTAGTCCTCGAATTACAACCGGGCCACTTTGCAAACGTTCAAAGGTAGCACTGATCTAACAAAGAGGACTTACGATCTGGATTCAAAGTCCTGACGGAGGGGTCCCGCCATGGTCGCATGAAGCAACTTCAGGTGCTCAGCAATACAGCTGTATTTATGGTGGTTTGCAGCATTCTAGGGGTCATCTGATCCACGTTTTACAACGGGTTTGCCCAACTTATTTACAGGTTTGGGCAAAATGGCGCTGTATTCGCTTTTAACGACCAATGTGTTGGGAGAGTGAAGAAGAAATTCAGAGGGGTACGAATCTTCTCTGAGGACCAACCTCAACTAGGGGAAAGTCAAGAATGGCCAACAACACACACAACGTCAGCCTTTTGCTTTGCATCTTTCAGCTGTCATAAGTCTCTCTCTCTCTCTCTCTCTCTCTCTCTCTCTCTCACACACACACACACACACACACACACACACACACACGGAACTGCCTTCTTTCTTACTCTTTCTGCCTTCAGTGTGTGGTCAGATCTGCAACTGGAATCAAATAATCTTGAAGCCTGAATGGGTGGCCCTGAATTGATACTCACAAAGGAGCAAATGCTAGTTATGGACCCCACACCACTGGAAAACTCCATGTTCTTTTGCCCCTTTCCTTTCCATCTTTCCTTCCTTCCCTTCCCTTTTCTTCTTTCCCTTTCCTTTCTTTTTCCTTCCCTTTCTTTTCCTCTTTCCTTTCCCTACCTCTTTCCTTTCCTACCTCCTGCCCAATCCTCCTTCCTTCCTCTATTCTTTTCCTTCCCTTCCCTTCCCAAAACTTTCTTCTCTTCTTTCATCAACCTTCTCCTTCCCTCCCTCCCTCCCTTTCACACAACCTCCTGACCACATTCAACTTACTCTCCGGTTTGCACGATATACCAAATCACGAACCCAGCACAGCTGGAACTCCACAACTGGCTAACCCACATAAAACCTTCCTCCCAGCGAGCCACAATCAAGAGTCTGCAGGTTGGGGGAATCCACCACCTCTGGACCTTGGACTGTCCTGGCTATAAAGGCCTTTTTCTTCAAGGCAAGAGACATCCGTGGCAACTACCGCCAAACTGTCCTGCCGAGAGCGGATCCCTTAAAACATTCCTATGCCTGTTTTAGTAGTTGCCATAAGAAAGAGGGAGAGGAGGAAGGAAATCTGGAAGAGCCGTGCAGCAGTTTGGAAGCGAAAGTACATTCCAACTCTTCATCTTTAAAAGATTGTAACTAACCTACCAGAGTTTCTGCCTGCAAATATATTTAATTGGAGAACGTGTATGATGACACCCAGCCTGTGAATGTGCTCAATTGGAGAATCTGATTTATGACACACCCAGGGGGGAGGGGAGGGGGGAAACAGGGTCCCAGGGGACTGTAAATGACATAGGCCAGAGTTGGCTTCATATAGGGCAGGGGCAGGACGTTGCCTCTAATGAATCCTTTGAAGTTTTTTGAAGTTTGGCTCGAGAATCATGATTTAATTAGGGCGATTGCTGGAATCCTGACACCCTGCACGCTTGCCCAGCCTACGTGGGAAGACCCGCGTGTCAATTCCCCCCCCCACCCGACGGGATCAGTGGAGGTCACCCAAACGACCCCTCTCCTGCCCACCGGACACTTTCCTCACCGCCCAACGTTGCGTGCCAGGGCCTCGCGAATCCCTCGGATGTCCCTCTGAGTCTGCTCGATTTTTTCCATGGCCTGGAAGAGCCGGACGCTCAGGGCCTTCTTGGTGGTCTTGCTGGCGTGGTAGATCTCCTTGCTGCTCCTTTCCAGCGGCGGGGGAGCCCCTCCCTGCGGCCCCCCAGAATCCTGGCCCTGCAGCTTCTCGTTCAAAAAGTCAAACACGTTTCGGGGTTTGGGGTTTTGCTGCCGGATCCGGGCCGCGTTCTTGCCTTTTGCCCTCCGTTTCTGGGGCTTGGACAGATCCAGCTTCCCCTCTCTCTTCTTCTGCAAGATCTCCGCGCACTGATCCAGCGATTTCCCCTTGGGGAGCACAACAGCTAATACGGGCTCGATCCGACCCTCTGCGTTTTTGCCCAGGCCTGCAAGAGAAAGAGGAAGACAAGAAGAATCACAGCTGGAGCATCCGTCGGAGGGGAGGGCCTCTGTCACGCCCCTGCCAGAGTCTGAACTCGAGGAGGACGACGAACAGTTGATAGGGAGTGGGAGTGTGGCTCCGTTGGCTGTGAAGGAGGCTGGGGAAGGGCAAAGTTCAGCTGGGCAGAGCAGGGGAGAGGTAGAACAAGGGAGAGGGAGTTCAGAGGTAGACCCAGGCCCACCCCCTCTTCATCCTAGGGCACGCAGGGAGGAACGGAGAAGGGAGCAACGTGGGTTGCATGGCTTACGAGGGAGGAAAGGGCCCTGATTCCCTTCATTAGCCACAGCTGGGAATGAGTTTAAGAGAACTGAATGCTGACTGCAGCAGCTGCTGGGAGCAAATGTGACTTTATCCTGTGTTGACCTTGCTTATCTGTGTTCCTGGCATCTTCCCAACCAGGTTGAGTTACTGCCGTTCCGTCACATCTGGAATTCTTGTTCCTGCCCTGCCGAACTAATTACCTCAGTTTGCCTTAATTGGATTTATAGTTTGTGTTGACCATGTTTTGGACTTAATTCTCTGCAGTCAAAGGCTGTTCCTGGGAGAGGTTTTCTCCAGCCAGAAGGTAACCTGGACATTGGGGGCAAAGTTGGAGCTAATAATACTGATTATCTGACTGTGTTGCTTTTGTGCCATGCCCCGGGTCATCACAGCCTCCTTGGGGGTGTACACCTCATCTCCTCCCACCCACCTGATGCCCACTTACCTTTACCCAGCTCGTAACCCATCTGGGCCATAAGTTTGGAGCCTATGCCGCGCGTATGGGCTTCCCAGCTACCGAAGGACGAAAGGCAGGCGGACGTCCCTTCCCCGTTCTCCGGAATGCTGCCGTCAATGACTGGAGACAGGAGGGAGAGAGAGAGAGAGAGAGAGAGATTAGAGGCAGAAAGCTTCTCCTTTCCCATCTTAAAATGAAAAAAGGAACAGGGGATTTCCAGGAACAAATTGTCCTCGATTTACAAGCATTTGTTGGCGATCCTTCAAAGTGACCACAGCCCTGGAGAAAAAGTGACTTTATGTCCATTTCTGATCTTTGCTGCATTCCCCCAAGGTCACAACTGGCAACTGGCTCATACTTATGATGGTTGGGGTGTCTCAGGCTCACGTGATCCCCTTTTCTCACTGGGGGAGCCAGATTTACTTAAATGTGTTGCAAAGGGGGGTTGGACTAGATGACCTACAAGGTCCCTTCCATCTCTGATTTATCTGTTATCTGCTAACTTAACAACTCTTGCTTGAGCAGGGGAGCTGGACTAGAAGACCTCCAAAGTCCCTTCCAAGCTCTATTTCTTTTCTTTTTTTTGAAAACAATTTTATTGATTTTCTACAAACAAACAAAACATTAAAACATCAACTCTCTTATGTACATACAGTGTGTCGGTTGGTTCATCAGTTTTGTGCATTCATTTCGTAGTCTCAATTACAGTTATATTACATAATAGCTCATATTGTCAATCCAAACTTATATATCCTAATATCGCTATTAGAAAATCATTTGACTATACTTTTAATCATTCATACTTTACGAGATAACAATATTTTAAACAGTTTATTCTATAACAAATCATATAATCATACCAGATCTATCCTAAAAACACTTTATAGATATGATGTCGAATAACAAAAGAGAAAGAAAAAACAAAGATATTCCTTGCTGTCTAACATTTTAAATATTCTATTATTGTATTCTGTCATCCAACCATTGATAGAAAAGATCCCAAATTTCATAAAATTGTTTATCCTCTTGCTCTCTAATTTCAAATGTCAATCTACTCATCTCAGCACATTCGAACATTTTCTTAATAATTTCTTCCTGCGATGGTATTTTCTCATTCTTCCAATTTTTAGCAAATACAATCCTAGCCGCTGTTAATACATTTACAAAGTCCCTTCCAAGCTCTATTTCTGATTCTGATTTCCTTAACAACTGGGGGCAAAACTCACTGAGCGACAGTCATGCTTCGCCATGGGGATTTGGGGCTTCATTGTGTCCCCGTAAGTCAAGTACTACCTGCACGGTGGCCAAAAGGGGATTTTGGAGGGTACAAACAGCAGATGAGGTGTAAATTAAATGCAGGAACTACAGGGCAGCAGGAGTCAGAAAAGCAGGGAGGCAGCCCCATTAGCTTGTACCTTTAGCGTATGCAGAACTATCCAATTCATCGCCTTCAGACTCTGAGGAGGAGGAGGAGGAGGAAGACGTCTCCTCGCTACGGAGCGGAGGGATGATGCCATCCCCTTCCACCACCGCTTCCTTCAGGAGCAGGGAGTCAAACTTCACTGTGTAGTAACCGCTGTCAAGGTCTGAGAAAGGAGAAGGAAGAGGATGCACGTTATTTACATCCCGCCTTATTTATTTCTATCACTAACTCAGGGCGGTGCATATGCAGGCAGTCCTCAAAGTACAACAGAACAGAACAGAACAGAATAGAATAGAGAGAGGAGGGAGGGAGAGAAAAAGAGAGAATAGA